AGATGCATTTAGAATGAATCTATCATAAAAATGCTGGGATGGGCGGTAATTTAGTATGTCCCAGTAAAGTAAAGCGTTCAAAAAAACATATTCATACTGAGTATATTTCGATAGCGATCTAGATTAAGAACTGCAATCACTCTATCACATAAGATGATAAAATAATGATGATCGAATTCTTCCCACAATAATATGAAAGGCTTCACGATGCCATTACATTTCGCATAGACTTGTCCCCCAAACGGTGCTTTCATCTCGACTGGATTACATTGGACTGCTGTTTCGATCCCGCCTGGGTTTTATATGCACGAACAAAGAGAATCAAATCTATCGTCAGTATTAAAACTTACTCATTATGAATAAACCCAGCGTAGTCGATTGTAATGGCAACAGCAAGTTTGACCCATTTAATTTTCACCTTAATATGGGTATGGAAGAGGAGTGGTTTGTCTTGAAAATGACGTCTGCCTTGGACCCACCGACATTCGTGGCGTTGTGGTGTAGTAGTAACATCTCAAAAATAAAAAAGCTGAAACAACCGGGTTAAATTACGGTTGGGGGTGCTAATGGGACCCACGCGAGACCAAAAGTATAGTCCCATCCAGCCGAGATGAGAATAACTTTTAAAATTCAATAAAATCATGAAGCCTACTCATATGATGGTGGTAAAAGTTTAAATATCATTCCTTTATAGCTTTATCAGAACTAGGGTGAATATGCATAGGAAGAACATTCAATGCTTCAAGAGTGAGTTAATAAGACAGTACTGTTTAGGTGAATTGCAAGTGAGAAATACCTGGTCAACGACGAAGTTTGGCCTGAAATACTCAGACGTTCGTCTATTCCTAGTTCAGTTGTCAGGCTACGAGTACTTGCAGTAGTTAGGGCGATTCCAATGTTGGGATAATATGAAGAAGATAAAGAGGACAAGGAAGATGACGGCCGACTGGGGTTTACGTCAGAATGTGTCACTGTGAACCCTTCAAGGCTGAATTCTGACAGGAGGCCGTCCTGATCACCGTTAGAACCGCCATTGACGACACCAATCATTTCGGCGACGACCTCCTTCTCACCAGCTTCATCAGCAAAAGCTTCGCGATCAGTTGGATAGCACCGCCGCTCGTGGCCGACAGCTGATCGACCAAAAGTCGGGCCAGTTAACACGGGGGAAGCTGACACCACACAAGTGCTATTGTCACTGATGACACCATTCCCACCGCTATGAGAATGCAGGACATTAGA